TTGATTCTATGATTCTATGACTGCATTCTCCTCTGGCATTAGTCTATGGGTACTTTGAGGATAAACTCAAACATCTCAAATAAAAAGGCAGAGAAGCCTGCATTGTAGGCAGAGGAATTAGCAATCTGTATGTAACACAGAGAGTTCTGAGAAATGTTGTGAAATTAAATTTTCATGTGGATTAATTTTCCCCTCCATTTCAATTTCACCTTTGTATCTAAATGTGTTACTTTGAAGACTGACTGTAGGAGCTCTGGGGGGTGCAGGGAGCAATGCTTCCATTCATTTCATCATATCCCAGTTTGATAGGTGGCGCATCCTGCTCAGGAAGTCACATGTAGCACTTAAATCCTTGACTAAACTTCTATTTAATTAGAAAGACCACTGTTTCTTGAAGGCCAGTAATAAGTGGCATTCCTCAGGGGTCAGTACTAGGACCAGTGCTTTTCAACATGTTTGTCAGCGACATGGACAGTGGAACTGAGTGCATCCTCCAATGACACTATGCTGTGTTGTATGGTCAACACACTGAAGGGAAGGGATGTCATCCAGAGAGACCTTGGCAGGCTTGAGAAGTGGATCTGTGTAAAGCTCATGAAGTGAACTTCACAGCTCTACATATGGGTTAGGGCAATCTCAAGCATGAACACAGGCAGGGCAGAGAATGGATTGAGAGCAGCTCTGAGTAGAAGGGCTTGGGGGTGTTGGTGGAAAAGAAGCTCAACATGACCCAGCAATGTCTGCTTGCAGCCCAGAAAGTCAATTGCATCCTGGGCTGCATCAAGAGCAGTGTGGCCAGCAGGTGATTCTCCCATTCTACTCTGTTCTCATGAGCCCCACCTGGAATACTGAATCCAGCTCTGGGATCTCCAGCACAGGAAGGACATAGACCTGCTCAAGTAAGTCCAGAGGGGAGCCAGGAAGATGATCAGAGGGCTGGAGCACCTCTCCTATGACAACAGGCTGAGAGAGTTGGGATTGTTCCACCTGGAGAAGAGAAGGTTCCAGAGAGACCTTAAAGCACCTTCCAGTACCTAAAGGGGGCCTGCAAGAAAGCTGGAGAGGGACCTTTTACAAGTGTGTGTAATAATAGGCCAAGGGTTAACTGCCTTAAACTGAAAGAGGGCAGATTTAGATTAGACGTTAGGAAGAAATTCTTCACTGTGAGGGTGGTGAGGCACTGAAATAGGTTGCCCAGAGAAGCTGTGGGTGCCCCATCCCTGGAATTGTTCAAGGCCAGGTTGGATGGGGATTTTTGAGCAACCTGGTCTAGTGGAAGATGTCTCTACCCACAGCAGTGGGGTTAGAACTAGATAATCTTAAAGGACACTTTCAACCCAAACCATTCTACAATTCTTTAATTATTCTATGATTATTATGAAAATTATACTATGTTGATTATGAAAATCTCACTGTTGCACTGGCCCTACATTACCATGTATTAATATTAGATGAAAAATCTCAAATTTCTCAAATTCTGTGATTTCCTATCAAAAGAAGGTGCTGAATGTATACAGCATGAACTATATAAGGGTATCCAGAAAGGTACGTGGTGAGTGGGATGTTGTGGGAGATTGTTAACAATCAATCTGTAGTTGGGTGTCACTGGTGAGTATGGCTGCAGGGGCAGAGACTTCCAGTGTCCCTTGAGAGAGCCTGGAGTTTCAGCTCTGTTCTTATGTATTTCAGATGTCTAGCACTGCTACCTAAGTAAGCCTAGAGAGTCAACTTACCTCAGCCCCATGGCCACAGACCTCAGGCAAATGCTGTGGTTGCTTGGTGTAACCAGTCTCTCTCTCCCCATGGAGAAAAGGAGCTTGTAGATTCATTGACCTGTCCATAAAATTGTGGCATGAAAAAATGGCAGTTGCTGGGAGAGGTCAGTACAGAGGTTACTCATGCGAGAAGAATCTAGGAGGTGGTACTGAACAGCAACTACATGTATTCCTTGGCAAGCTATGAAACTTAATGAATAGGTTACCTTTGTTGGGAGACTTCTCTGTTCTGCTGACCACAAATTCTTCCCTGTTCTGAAACTTTGGAACCCTAATAGCTCTATTGCTACAGACTTTCATGCACTGAGATGCCAATTCAATGCTGTGTGGCATGGGTCACAAGCACAGGGACAGGCAGAAAACTGCTGAAAGCCTAGCTTTGAGCTCCTGCAAATCTCTTTACAAAAGAAAAAGAAAATAGTTAAAAGGGGATTGAGAAAAGGTGGGATTAGAACTTTAAGCACAAAAGGAGCATGTTTCCAAAACTAAACAAAGGCAGGATTTCAGCTTTAAATGCATGAGATGGTGGAAGGATGGATAGATGCTTAGAGCTCAGTAAAGGACAACATTGCATATAAAGTGGAACTAAAAGCAGAAGGACCTGATCAAGCTGATGAGGTCAGGGAATATGGAAGTATGGGACCAAATTACTGGGAGAACTACCTAATGCAAGGTCTAATGGCAAGGATTTTAACCAGACCTTTCAAACTGGAGATTTATATAATGGTAGTGGGACAGTATGTGAATACTTGCACTTAAGACATCTCTGCAATAAGAATTTACGATATAGCTTGAAGGAAAGGGTAATGAAATATGTGAAAAACAATGGAAAATGAGATAAAAAGGCATTTTATTAAATTTCAGTCGTGCCATACTAACCTGACACAATTCTGATAATGCAAAGAAGTATTTTTACACAAAGAAGATGTTCCAGACTTACTAGAGCATTTAGAATAGTGCTACCTGGAAACCATTACTCAGGTGGGAGATTTTGGGTAGAACAACACAAGAACCACAGGAACTGACAGAGTGAAGTGACTGACTTTGCTCATGAAATGCAGAATATGACTGTCCCTTCTAAGGAAGGGAGAAAACTCTTTTATATAGAGTAGCATGGTCAATAAATCTAACTGGAGTCTGTTGAGTACCTGGTTGGGATTACGTCCTGATTGCTGGAGATTTCAGAGGATATATCCAGAGTCAGACAAAGTGGGACTAAGCCACTGGGCAGAGCACAGGAGTGTCTATTAAGGCAGTCTGAGCACCAATGTGCACTTTATATAAGATTCTGCAGCAAAGCTGTGGTTCAGCTCCACCTTCTCAGTCATTTTCCACTCTGTTCAATCCTGTTTGTGCTTTCTTGTCCCACACACAAGGATGTATTTAGCGTGTCCAGATCCCATGGATCCTGCTGATGGTAGACACAGCTCATTATGTTCATGCTTCTTGGCACGAGCAAGATCCTGGTGCCCTACTTTAGTTATAACATGTTTTTTTCCCCAAATGATTGAACTAAAATAAAAATAAAATATTAATCTTTAAGAGACTTCTTCAGCTAGGTGGAGGGAGGATGTCTTTTACATTGAACTAATCTGTGAGCATCTGAACACAAACATACTGGGGAGAGTCTTTCAAAACCGGCAATGTCCCCCTTTTTTGTTTCCTTGGCCAGGCGGATGTTCCCTGTTTTGAAGATCAGTGTGTCAGGCTTGGACCCAAATGCCATGTATTCCTTCCTTTTGGACTTTGCCCCAACTGATGGCCACCGCTGGAAGTATGTCAATGGAGAATGGGTGCCAGCAGGGAAACCAGAGCCACCAAACCACAGCTGTGTCTACATCCACCCAGACTCTCCCAACTTTGGGGCCCATTGGATGAAAGCTGCCATTTCCTTCAGCAAAGTCAAACTTACCAACAAGCTCAATGGGAGTGGGCAGGTATGGCCTGATGTTTCCACATACACCTCTTGGCTTCAATTGCAAGCACCTACCAATCAAGAAATATCAAGGGTGCATTTATGTAATTATAGAAGCCCTTACAGGCCTCTTCACCCACAGATGCCAATTATTCTCTGGAGGCCAAATGTAAACAGGAATAAACAGGCCTTAATTGGCACTTTCAGATTTTAATGGACTTCTTGATGTTAAGAGAGACAGAGTGCTATGGTTTACTTAATCATCAGGGGGCTTTTCAGAGTTGGTCTTGTGTGCTGGGGATTTTTACATAGGACTTCAGAGAAAGGGGGGAAAAATGGTCACGGGTATTAGGTTTTTGTTGTGTTCCCCCATGTTGTTTGGTGTAAGTGGAATGTTGGCAGGAGTCAGATAGCAGAATAAAAGGCTGCTCCTAAATGAAATAATTACTGTGTCTGCTTCTGCATCATGATAATTATCAATATTCTATTGAATCAGCTTTGGCCTTTGGAAAGAAATCACATGTACCAGAAATAAGTGACTTTCTCTTTGAACCCCTTAAAAATGCAAACAGGAAAATTAGTTTTGTTTCGTATTTTATTTTTGATGGTGCATCTAAAGTCAAAATGTTGCCCAAGACCTTTTGTTTGCTTATTTGTTTTGTACAAAACTCCTACATTGGATGATACTTGTCAGCCCAGAATCAATTTCTTTCATGTAAATACTATGCATTCTCTGTTATTTCCATTAGGTTTGTGAGGTGCCTCTATAAGCCTACTACCCTAATTAGGTAGGAAATTATCTCAGTTTTTAGACAGGAGAACAAGAAGATGATCTGACTTTTCCTAAGTCATACATGGAACCAGTACACAAGAATTATCGTGGAGCATAAGGAACTGAATTTGCAAATGCTTGTCCTGCATCAAGGGCCTCAGAAAAGTCAAAGGCCTCAGAAAAATATGCATAGAGGGGAAAAAACCTACAGGAAACCAACTTAGAGGGTCAAAGAGACCCTGGGGAGAAATAGAGGGGAACAACGTATGTATATGTGATGAAGTGGAGTGGAAAATAGTAGAAAGCAGGGGAGGAAAAGCCATATGAGAAACAGAGTCCAACCAAAAGTCACTAAATAACAAATGTCTGAAGCCCCTCTTGTTTTCCTTTGAAATCATGACAATAGTGTTAAGGTAAACCATGTTCCCATTCTGTGCATCAGCTTCTCTCTGTGTGATGCTATTAGAAAGCAATAGCTGACTAGAAGTGCTTCATGCTGTTCTATATGTATGTATGTATGCACACACTTTCCAAAGTACAGATTAAAAAAAAAATCTTTGCTTGCAGTAGAGATAATTAAGCAATCTAATAGACTACCCAAGGAAGGTATATTGTGGAATCAATGCTATTCACAGCTTTTAATGCCAGGTTAGAGAGACCTGCCAAGTCTTGTTTAGACACACTTCGTCTTGCCCAGACAGATGACTAAGTGCCTGCCTCAGCTCCCTCCTGGCCCCAATTTCTGTGGTGATGATTCTCAGTCTTTCAGATAGTAGAAGCAGGACAGGGAATGCCCTTGAGCTGCTTCAACTGTCTCTAGTGGAGTGGAAGCCCAATGGTTTGAAGGCCATAGCTGCTGACACAAATATTCACTAATGCTGTTGTATCAAAAGCTTTAAATACAAGTCCAGTGAGGCTCCATTCTGTTCAGCCCTATGGTTATCCTAAGGCAGGAAAGCACCTGCCCTTCTGCTTTCAGTACTCGCTGACTGGGGAGGTTTGGCAGTGACATCTGGTCTGTTACAGAGCCAGAGCAAAGAATCAGCTGTGAGATACCAGGGTGGCATTGGGGTCTGTCTCTCTGTTTTGTTTTCTGCAGATAATGTTGAACTCCCTGCATAAATATGAGCCCCAGGTACACATAGTTCGCGTAGGAGGTCCCCACCGGATGGTGATGAACTGCTCTTTCCCCGAGACACAGTTCATAGCTGTGACTGCCTACCAAAATGAAGAGGTAGGCAGATGCCACACTGTGCTCTTGGTCACCATTGATGAGTTATATTAAAAGCTTATTAACTACAAGATCAGCAATATCTTTTTATTTTTTCCCCACTGGTCCCATGCAGTGTAAATGTTCCACCCAGTCTAATACTCTGTTGTCTCTCTGCAGTAGAACATTGCCTAATCTAGTGTCTGGCTACAGTACTAAGACAGGTTTAGCTTAATATCCTGCCACAGCTGTTCCAGACTGGTCCATCTGTCTTAGCATCTCAATCCTTTACTGGAAGAAACCAAAGAAACGGCCCTATAGTCAAGTCCAATGTCTTTCTCCAATAATAATGATAACCCTGTCTGTCCCTGCTCCTTATAATACATACAACTGAAGAACAGAAAAATATTCCATGGGAAAACTTCTTTCCAACCCCGAAACTGTAATTGAGGGATGCTTTGGACCGAGAATTGCTAACTCCTGTGCCACATCCCTTAGCTAGTATTGCTGCAGATTTTATTCATACTTGTTAGGAATTCAATATTTAAACTCCCTTGAAAGGGTCCACCATCCCACAGGATTTGCCAGACTAGCTCATGCCAGAATGCCCCAACTGGTGTTCTGCCTGTGGCACTGATCATACACAGCACTCCACAATGAGCAAAGCTCTCTTCTAAGCAGCCCTGGAAAGCATCAGCTGTGGGTATATATTTTAGGCAATTTACTTAGATTACTCTGGAAGGTGTTTTGTCAAGTTTCTATTCCAAATTGCCTTCACTAACATGCCTTTTTTTCTGTAAACTCAAGATAACAGCTCTCAAAATCAAGTATAATCCCTTTGCCAAAGCCTTCCTGGATGCAAAGGAAAGGTGAGTTTGTCTTTTTTTTGCTCCAGTAGCATTTTGCTGCTGATATGGTTAAAACTGTGGCATCACAATATGAAGATAAATTACTGAATTTTGTTTCTGCAGTCTTAAATCCAGATCCACTCCACTGATTTAAGTGGGGAGATTCTTGATATAGTTATTACGATGGGTCTGAAGTGGGTGAATAATGTCTTGTGGATCCTAGGACTTAGCACTGTCTGCACAGGAGGCCTGAAATGAGATGGTGGGAACTTCCCCAGTAGTGCTGTACACTGCATATGTTCACTACATTGTACTTGCACTCCAGTGAATCCCATAAATTGATAGGTCAGGGGGAATAAAAGTTAGCTGCAGGTGTCAAAAAGCATCACTGAAGTGAAATTACACTGTAACTGTAACCTAACTACAGTGCTGTTATTAAATCTGTGTGATAACGTATGATGTGTTTATTAAAAGTAACCTGTAGGTGTTAAGTAATGTGGGATGTCAGAGATGCTTCCATAGGAAATGAATTGTGGCTTATCTTTTGAAATTTTACTTTCATTATCCATGTTAATGCAGAGGGGCATCCAAATTATGCATTCCAGCCCATAATTGCTAAGAAAGTTTGTTGGGACCTGCTGTATCATCTGACATGTGAAGTGTCCCACATTCCTGCAGGAGAACCTGTATTTCCTTTCATTCCTCTCCCCACTTAGGAAGCTGTTGTGTGTCAGTACCAGGTTTCCAGCTGCAGAAAGGGGAATGCTGCCTTTGGTTTGCCTGGCTGAGCAGAAGGCAAAGTCCTGCCTTGGTCTGGGCTGGAGGCCTGCAAACAGCAATGGTGCACACTGATGGATTTAGAATTCCAGGTTCAGCCAATATATGGTACAAACTTAGTACATTTTTGTGTAAGCCATGAAAGTTCCTGCTTCCTTTATGGCAGAATGTAGAAAAGTTTACTTCTGTATAACAAGTGGTTAAAGAAGATGGAATTCCCTCCTTTTTAACTCCTCCAATTTTTTAGTGAACACTTCTGTTTATAACTTTTGTGATTTCTTAATCAGTTCTACCACTAAGTATTTTGCTTTTCAGAAACCATTCTAAGGATGCTCCAGAAACAGTCACTGAAGGTCAACATATGACATATTCTCACCGTAAGATTTTTATTTGTGTCAGCTGGAAGATTTGTGTGATATGATAGGTGCTGGGAACTTGGGACTTGCTTAACTGGCTTATACCAATCCTTTACTGAGTCCTGAGTTGTGTTCATGGAAAGGAACCCTTTTAAAAATAAGAAGATTGAAGAAACTTCACAGCAACAGGAAATAATGCGAGAGGTTCTGCAGAGGGATCATTTTCCTTATGATCCAGTTTTTCAATATTTAAAGGAATATAGAGTCATGATGATATATGACATTTTTCGGGCTTTTTCACTTTTTTTTTGGGTATTTGTAACTTTGAATGTTTTTGTTAACTACAAAATTACCTTTCATTGATAAACAGGTAAAAAATAGAGGGGTTTCTTTAATGATACTTTTTCTTTCATTCATTCTTTCATGTTTGTGACATTTTATTGTAGCTGCTTTCAGGTGTTGTTTTAGGGTTGGTGGCTTTGGGGTTTGGGGGGGGTGCATCGATGGTTTTTTTGGGGAGGTTGTTTTTTTTTTCCAGTTGTTCCAAAAAGCAGTATCTTGGAATCTGCTTGGTATGTCTGAGGTACAGCAAATTCTGCAAGAAGGCTGGTTTGTTTCTTAACTGTGTTGCACCGTTTTAGTGCAATAATACCAGTTTTCTTCTCTCTTTTCCCTCAAAGTGGGTGGCTGGTTGATTTCCAACCCAGATACAGTGTGTGCATCAGGAAGCTCTAATTATCAGTACACTGGACCTCTGCCCCTGCCAGCTCCACACACTCCTCACAGCTGCGAGCGATACTCAGCACTGCGAGGCCATCGTGCTGCTCCGTACCCTCCTTCCTACATGCAGAGGAACCACTCACCTACAGGTACTACTGTAACAGGGCTTTGCTTCCTCCACCTGCCTCACCCTTGCTTTAGGTTAGCACAAGCATTGAAACAAGAAAGAACTGAGGCTAGGAAAGAGCATGATGAGTCTCTGTAATGATCTGCACTGGTTCATGCACCAGGTAGGTTCAAGGCAGCAAAGCAAGAGGTACAAAGAGTTGCTTGTTAATTATAATTTAGCAAGGATTCCTGTTTAGTAGAAATATTTATCATTGAATCATAGAGTGATTTGGCTTGAAAGGGTCCTTAAAGATCATTTTGTTCCAACCTCCTTGCCATGGTCACTAGACCAGGTTGCTCAAAACCCCATTCAAGCTGGTCTTGAACATTTACAGGGATGGGACAATATTTATAAAATTTTATAAAATATTTAAGCTTGAATTGTAAGGCAATCTGTACTAAAACATTGCCAGATATGTGTCAATAATTAATGAGAAACTATTAGTCAGACTTGCAAAAATGCATATCCTATGTCTGTCATGCTGTACCTTCTCACATATCACACCTGGAACCACATTGGCACCTTGCTACTCTCTTAATGAACATGGGAATTTTGTCCTTTTACCTATAGTTGGGAACTTCAGATTGCTGAAGCCTGATCAGATTACTCCCTCAGACCTGCCTATGTTCTGTTGCCTTAAGACAATGTCCCTGCAATAGTCACTGAGAATTAGCTTGTTGCTTTTTTTCTCCCCCTCCTCAAAGTTAATTTGTTGGAGAGTTCCAGCAATAATCTTCAGGTATTCTCAGGACATGACAGCTGGACTTTGCCATCCTCTCCACATGCTAATTTGCTCTCAGTGCCACACACGAAGGGAGGTGCCAGCCCTGGACCCAGGTAAGGTTACAGGAAAACTGCTACTGTGAGGAGCACTGAGGCTTGTAGGACTGCCCTGGTGATTCACACTTTGTCCCAGGCTTTAATCAGCATCCAGGATTTTAAACATGTCCTAAGTGCCCAACTTAAGATTCCTGGACAGATCTTTCTGACCAGCTAATTATCTTCTGCTCTGATCAGTGAGAGCTTCATTTTACCCCAGCATTGTTGAAAACCAGGGTCTTGGAACAGCCACAGATAACTCTGGTATGTACAATCTATGAGCATTCTAAAACCAAATTATTTTTCTCCATATATTCCTCACTATTCTGCATGAAATGAGGATCCTATTCTAGGAGTGGGTGGAATTTAGAAGTAGAGAGTAAATTAATTAGCAAGTATTTCACCTTCAAATGAATGCACACATTTCTTCTCTAATTTAGGTGCCAGGAAAATCAGCTGCAATTCTTGAACGTTTATAATCATTCACCAAAAAGATCTTTAAATCTAGAAGCCTCATATGTATTTGTATATTTCTCTACATGCCTCTCTTCAAGGTCACCAGGTGTCATAGTTGCTGGTGGTTTTTCACTTAAGATATGCAAGGCTGATCTAGTTTAGTAACTCAATTTGAACAGCTGCCTATTAGAAGATAATGCAATTGACTTTACTGTAGCAAGTCTTTTGTAGGGTTTTGAAATAAGTCATTCAATTTGTACTGCTTTTTTTTTCCAGCCACTACCCTTGCCTGTGGACAGTGAGCAACAGTGCTGTAAATGTTGCCAGCCCAGGAAGTGAGATGAACAGCAGCCCTTCAAGCATGTTTCTAAGGGGTAATGTCCCCTTACCTGCTGCATCATCAGTCCAAATCCCTCTGCAGGGAATGGTTTCTGGCAGCATGGAATCGCAAGGGGAAAGCACTCTGGCCAGACTAGCCGACTCTGTGTGGACATCCTCACACTCCTTTTAATGGACAGGCAGCCCACAAGGAGCTCAGCCAAACAAGACTGACACAAATGGCAAATGATCCCCTAGAACTGCAGCTCAGAGCAGAATGTACGCAGAAAGACAACTTCATCAAACATCACTTTCCATAATGTACCTCTTGTTTGCCAGAGAAGCCAAAATGCAAAGGCAGGAAATGTTAGGAGAACCAGCTTCTTACTGTAACCTTTATGCATCTTTCAGGTTGATGTCCAGAAAAACTCTTTTTAGTTAGTTTTGCTTCTGTATCACATTAAAAATGGTCAGAGACATGGACATGGGTCAGAGACATGGGACTTCTATATCACATTAAAAATGTTCAGAGACATGGGACATCATGCCGTGCAGACATGGCAGCTGGATATTCACATGTCATCTTATAAGTTCTTTCTGTAACTAAGAGCCAAGTCCAGGGGAAATTGTGAGCAAGTTCACAACTGGTCATTTGAGGGGGACAGTGCTGCTTTAAAGGCTTTCTGAATCTCTTGCATCAAGGTTTACACAACACATGAAACTAAACCCTTCAGGAGATGAAATTAGTCTGACATCTTAATGCCACCTGCACACAGTGTTCTCTTGTCCCTTTCCCTTCTCCAGCTCCTGTTTGCTATTTGTGTACCATAGGGATAGTGGACACACACAAGCTGTGAAAGTGGCTGCATTGTAGCAGCAGGGTGAAGGGCAGCTAGTAGCATTTATAGTCTGATGTCACAATCTTTAAAATGGGAAGTTCCAGTGTTTTCAATATGTACTATTTTTGAAAGGGTGGAGGGAAAAGAATTATAGAAAAAAAATATTCAGCTTGCATTTCCACTTTGCTTCAGATATAGAGTACAAATAAAATATGAATAAATGGTGTATTACTTCCTCACTTTCTTTCCAAAGTGTATACATGTGTACAGTCTGCTTCAGCTAACAATCTCTGAGCTGTTTAAAACAGCTCTGCTAGAAGCAAGCTGATAGGACAGGAATTTTCTATTCCTTGTCCATAAAACAGCTCTGCTAGAAGCAAGCTGACAGGACAGGAATTTTCTATTCCTTGTGCTGTTACCAGCTGTATGCTCTTGGGCATGGTATTTCATGTCTTTGCATCTGTTCCCCCTCTCACCTTTTGTCTGCTTCAGCTTCCTTTTTCAGGCTACAGCTTTTCCTATCTTGTGTGAGTGTACAACATCTAGCATAGTGGAGGCCCAATCCTGTCAGGGATTTCTAACCACTACTGTGATGCAAATAACAAGTCATCCCCCAATCTTCCTTGTCCTCTCACATATCTCCTCAGGCAAGCCCTACCAGTCTCTCAGAGAAGAGTGCTGCTATTTGAGCTCTTGCAAAGAAAAAATTGCAAGGTAACTCATGTAGCTATATCTCTGTATAATTAAATGCCCAGCAGCAATTCAGTTCTGTTTACAGTGTTGACAGGGGCTGGATAGAGAGTCCTTGAAGAGGAAATCCTCAGTATAGGTATAGAAGAGGATTCTCCAAAGCTCCTGCGAGATGGTGTCTCTGCAGTGGTGTTTCTGTCTCTGCCAGATACAACAACACTCCCTTTGTGAACAGTCATTTATTGCATACAAGCTCTGGGAGCAGCATTTTATTCTGAGTAGACAATGGAGGCAACAGCAAGAGGAGCTTTTTCATCCAGGTCATCACATGTACATCTGTCTGGTGAACCTAGCAGGCTCCTGTTTCATATTCTATTACATGGCCCTGAATGATTCCCTTAAGTTGCTCTCAGGGTTATGCACTTCCATGACTACCCCATCTGGCTTTCCAGATGGCCTTGCCTTCCAGCTTCACTGCAGGCAAGATAATGTGCCAGGATGAACTCAGCAACACTGCTAGTTTTGCTGACTTCTGCTGCTATCCCCTAAAATCAAAGTAATGAAGTTGCTTTGGATGTGCATTTTTATTAATAGAGGCATTGGTCAAACAGGAGCTAATAGAGTGCAAAAAGCTCTGCATCCTGCTATCAGTCTAACCTTTGTCAGTTCTTTCACTGCAGGCAAGATAATGTGCCAGGATGAACTCAGCAACACTGCTAGTTTTGCTGACTTCTGCTGCTATCCCCTAAAATCAAAGTAATGAAGTTGCTTTGGATGTGCATTTTTATTAATAGAGGCATTGGTCAAACAGGAGCTAATAGAGTGCAAAAAGCTCTGCATCCTGCTATCAGTCTAACCTTTGTCAGTTCTGACTGTAAATCTGCCTTCCCACATTCTGACAAAAGCTTGGTGATGCGTTTCTCAACTCTGTGTTTCTCTGCCTTGCAACCAGAAATGTAAGTAGGTGTTTGTCTCAAAAATAGCTCTGCTTTGCAGACGAGGTTTATTAACTAACTTATGCTACCCTCTTCTGGCTGTTCAGATCCCCACAGACACACCACACACAGTCTATATGAGATGGCTATAGGTGCTAAAAAACAGGCAAGTGGTGACTTCTCTATGTTCCAGGACTTCCTTCATGGTTAATGAGTTGGATAATTTCTTAGGTATCCCATATACTGCATTACAGTAATACAAGAGTGATTATAAGGTGATACACAAACTGCATTTTTATTTCATAAGTGAACAATCTAGGAGAAAATCTAATTAGCTTTCCTGATAGTCCCATAGAATTGTAAAGATAAAGGATCAAAATGAATGGGCAAAGTAATTTTTCTTTCTTACCACTGTAAGAGCAACTATGACTCATGTCACAGGAGACGAAAAGTTCTGAGATTTCAGAAACAAGCTAAGTTTTTGTCATTGCAGACAATCTGATTTCGCCCAAGACTGAGAAATGGCATGGAGGATAAAAATACCCTTGGCTTGGTCACTACTCTTGGCCTTGTCTCAGTAGAAACTGGCACCTGCAGCCCAAAGCCCCTTGGCCTGAGGATGGCAGGGAGTACACTGATGTTGGATTTAGTGTTGGGGAGTCCTGGCAAGGACCAGGGAGTTGGACTCGCACCTTATGGGTCCCTTACAACTTGGTATCTTCTGTGATTCTATTCCATGATTTTGCCACTTTGGTAAAGGCTTTGAGAATTGATATCTGGCTTGGACAGATTAATTCTAAGCAGTGGAAGCCCTGCAGTGGAAGCCAGTAAAGGCTTTGGGAATTGATATCTGGCTTGGACAGATTAATTCTAAGCAGTGGAAGCCCTGCAGAAAGCTTTTGTTACTTGTTCACAAGAAAACTGCTGTTTTAATTTTTTCAACTCCTTTCCCAGTACAGTGGACTTCCCTGCAGTGCAGTAACAGGCTGGGATACTGGCCGTGCTGTTCTCCTGTGGGAGACAGATTCCCTTAAACTGTATATAAAACTATTCCCCTCTCATTTTTGTGGATTTGGTTTTGCACTTGTTTCCCAGCAGATTTCTGCTTGCTGTTAAAAGGTACACAATAATAATTTCTGAATGAGTATCTCCCTAGTTGCTGTGAGCAGTTACTGAAATGGCAGCAAGAGGAGAGAGTGAACAGCCTCCTCCTCAGTTTTCATATATTTTGATGAAGTCACTTCTTGACTTTGATTAAAAGAGATATATTGAGACACTGGAAGAGCTCTTTTGAGGCTTCCAGGGGTAGATACACTATCTGGTACTAACGATAGTTCATGTTTTTTAACTTAACTAGATTACAGAGTCCACACACTAGGTTTTTGTCCTGGCAGAAGTGCTGCTGGGCCCATGGGCAGGTACCTACCTCTCAGGCCTCTCACCTGGACAGCCAGAGGGCAAAGCTTGGGGAGAAATTTCCACACAAATGTGATTAGAGAGGGGAACCATTTGTTTTCAGTTTCCACAGGGCTTTAGCACTGTGACTAAATGTGAGGTTGAAGGGTGGTTTGTGTGACACCCCATTCAACTGTATTAAAAAAGAAGCAGGAGGAAGTGGTTAGTAAAAGCAGAAAACGTACCGGGTGAAAAACCCAACAGCTTTAAGACAACCTGGATGCCTCTGATGCAGCAGGTTCTGCTCCATAGTCTGCAGCTGCAACAGGACCTCGGTGCAGGAGCAGCACGGGGAAGAAAGGGAGGGATGCTGCCCTTGGTACTGCCCTTTAACTCATCCTGTGGGCTTCAGTGCTCCCTGAATCAGGAATTCTCCTTGGCTTTTTGCCCTCCTATGGCACCACAGCCCCATTCCTGCCAGGGCAGCTCCAGTGTGGGCAAGGGGCATGTGAACCCAGGGGTGACTGGACCGTGGGACCGTGAGCACTGCCCAGTGTTTGGGGACGGTGGCAGCGTTGCCCCTTTGCAGCCTGGAGTGGTCAGCAGTCCATCCCTGGGGCAGCAGTGGCCCAACAGTCCATTCCTGGGGCAGCAATAGGCTCCTGTGGGAACACAAAGCCGTAGCAGTCACTGCCACCCCCATGCTCAGTCTGAGGCATGTGCCTTTTGTCTCAAGATTTTCCCCTCGAGGTTTATTTTCCTGGCATTGGGCCTGGGGCCTCCCATGGAGGCAAGAACAGCACCTCTGACTATGCCCAAGGAAGTGTGGAGAAGCTTTTCCCTCAGAGGGCAGCCTGCAACTCCCCAGATAGCTCCTGTTTTAAGCCTGTAAGAAAGGCTGATGCCTGCCCATCTCTGTGCAGCTGTGGTGGGTGTGCTCAGCAGCCTGGATAGCCTCATCCCAAAAAGTTGCCTCTCTTGTGCTTCGCTGGGTCTCTTTCTGAGATGGGCTGTTCCAGCCCGTGCACCTCATCTCAGGCCAACAGGGGCTTCACAAATGGCTTCAGCTGTTCTCATCCATGACTGTGGACTTTGAAGGGAACATCTCTGCCCTGACAGGCAGAAAACCAGGGAGCAGAAAAACACTAGCATCCTCAATTCCCCAGCACCAGCCCAGATGTTTTTTGGTCAGCCAGTCCTGGGTGCCTATCAACAGACACCCGTGGCCCTGTTCCCAGCAGCGAACAAGCAGTAGGTAACCTCCTCAAGCTCAGTCTTTCCCCCTTCACACCCTCGTCCTGCCCTGTTTCCCATCCTGAGTAGGCTGTAACCTGCCTTTCCCAGGAAATCCTGCCTCCATGCTTGCACTGGACGCTGTGCCAGTGACCACCACCACTGCAGGTCAGCCCACTTTATCTCTCAGAGCAGACTTGGCTGAGGTATTTCAGTTCTCAGGTCATCAAGAGCTCTCAGGCTTACAAATTGCCAGGTGCTTTGGGGATTGTTCAGTGAGGATGTTCTGCCTGCTGTGGAAATGCTTTAGGATAGCTGCCTGTTTTTCCCCAGTATGTACTGATGCAGAAAACATTGGCACTTTGAGAAGGCCA